TGTTATACGCGATAGTTTGTACGTTGGATGTATGGATGTTTGTTACTCTATCACGCAAAAATTACTGAATGCAATTTAATTAAAATTTATATTATAATATCATAGCTTGTACATCAGAATAACACATACGCTACAATTAATAAAGATAAAAGGATCTGTCTGTTACGACTAAACTGCAGAACCAATTTTGATGAGTTTTGCTTCAAAGATAGGTCCTATACCTTAGAGAAGCAAATAAGCTACTCGAGGTACTAATCCTGAGCAGACAAAGTCGCGAGAACCAGCTAGTCTCTTCATCGCTGTATGTGACAGTTGCCTTAGGTCATATTTTTTTAAATCGCTTTGTAATTATTACAACGCGAATCTGAATGCGGCACTTTATCATTCAATGATTACGAGTTATTTTCATTTCCTTTTCATGGCTTGTTATAAAGATAATAAACCTTAAAAACATTGACGTACAGGGATTGAGCCCTGATAGATAATATTCTTATAAATCTCAATGTAATTTTCAAACGTCATATATTTTTGTGCTGAGTTACGTACGATTAGTTTACTCTTTTATCGATTTATTTTAAAAACGTATGTATGCGATGATGTAATATATCTTTAGTTAAGCTATATATATATATATATATATATATATATATATATATATATTAAATTAAATACATCACGCTGTACGTGAAAATCTAGAATGCCTACCCATGGTCTACTGACCTGTCCATTATGTATCGATGGTGACGTTAAAAGGCGGAACGGAATAGGTCCGCGTAGAGGGCGCCACGAGGAAAAATATATATGAACACTAGATCCATTAGCATTAGGTCCACGTAAGTCTACACCGGAAAAGCCTCGAAGTGGGCGACGACTTGTGTTACAGCGCCACGCTTGGCTGGGCGGGAGACCTTACTTCTGAACACTTTTGAAATTAGCGACACGCCACACCTGCGTTGCTAAGCGCGTCTCGAAATGCATCCGCGTTGGATGCAAGTCGGCTGTGAACATGAATATAAAAGTTGGTCCGCGAATTTGTTTCCATAAAACTAAACTATTCGACCCCTTTAGAGATTATCGGCTATTCAATTAAAAGCTTTGCGCATTGAATGATTTACCGCAATTCAATGAAACTATAAAAAAAAGTAAAAAGCATGTTCCGCTGTTGGGCAAAGGCCCCCTCTGTATACAGAGGGTATAGATAGATAGTCCGCTACGCGACCTCACTGCGGATAAGCGGACTTCACATATCTTCGAAATATTGTTTTTTTTTTTGTTATTATTTCTAATGTTGTGATAAATATTATGAGGAAATTATAAATATTGTGAGGAAACCTTTCCTCAAAATATTTTTCTTCCCGCTAAGCATGTATAAGGCAGCGCTTAAAATGAATAATTTCATTAGTGCCGGCACCGGGGATTGAACTCAGGTTGGTCGAGTATATTGAATTAAAAGCGAACGCTCGGACAACGAGCTATCGCGAGCTTACCGCTCTCATACGATTTGGAACGGTAAATCTGAATCATACATTAAAAATTGTCTACAATCAATAAACCTCTATCTAGAATTAGCCGCAATAACTCCCTGGTTCCGAAACATACTGAGCTGGATATTTTAGCTGACGATCTGTTCACATTTAAACGGAGATTGAAAGCAGCCTTAAATGTTTCATGATATTGGTCTCCATTATTCTATTTTAGCTATATATTTATGAGTTTTATTTTTTTTTATATTTTGTCACAAATATTTATTCTTTGTCACTTCTATAGTATGTACCATCAATTTAGTTGTTTTTTCTTATATAACTTGCTGTCGTAGCATACTTGGAATGTCAACTGAATGTTATAATATTATCTTTGTATTATTATGTAAATACGTTGTCATTCTGCTCTGGGATGCTATAAATAAATAAATCACAAAAGTGAAACCCGTTAAAATAATTTATTTCAATAATGTGCAGTCGCGCAAATACAGGAGACTAATGCCCGTTTTCACATAGTCTTAAGCGTGACACTTAAGCGGTGGTGGAAACGAAGTTAGCACTTAAATATTAGGGATCGATGGTGAAAACGGGCATCAGTCTCTAAATGTCTACATTAGACCAAGGCCTATACTGATTCTGTACAAATATTTATTAAATAGAAAATTTTGTAAAAGCGCACCTTGATAATAGACACATTAGTGCTGCTTAAAACGTTGTTACCGTCAGCAGAAATGTCGTAAATATTAATCAGATTCTACTATTAATAAAAATTATTTCGAAACGTATATATATATATTTACACAACGTTGTATAGTTCCAATTAAGCAAAGCTTGTACTTTGGGTACTACGTAGCTGATAAACGTACTTTTATTTTGTAAATAAATACATGTTATAGATATATATAAACATCTAGACACTGGTAAAACACTATGGTCATCACACAGTACTTTTCCAGTAGTGGGGATCGAACCCACACGCTCTGACGCAAGAGAGGATCCACTACGTCAAATGGGTCGTCGCCAACATAGAGTTGTTACACTTCGCTGATTTTGCAAAGCGGACGACGCTAACATGTTTTCTTCTATCGTGGCTTAATAGAAGCGTGGGCGAATCTCGTTCTTCATAGGTCACTACAATAGCATTTGGAGCTATCCTTTTGCGGCGTATTATTAATACATCTATTAATATCTTTGCCCGTACCGGGTACCAATCGATTTTCCAAAACTTTTACGTAAGCCAAGCGCCTTGTGAACAGGTGACTGATAAAAATGAAGAGGAGATAAGTTGTTTGCCAATAAGACTAGAAAACAAATATGGTTTCTAATTAAAGCCTAAAAACTGAACTTTCGACTATTAGGACTATTGCCTTTTGACGTTTGCATATTATTATACTTAATTTATAACATTGTCTTTATTACTTAAATGTGAAGTAACAGCCTAAATTTATTATGATCCACTGCCGGGCAAAGGTTTCCTCAGTACAGGGGACATTAGTGCATAGTCCGCCCAGGGCAGTTGGGCGGATTTCACATATGTTCGATTATACTTCTTTTGGCGCGTTAGGGAAAAATGATGAAAGATTTTTACGATGCGCGCGCACATCGTCGCGAAAAACCGACACCCTGAAGTCAGCTAGACATCTACGTATGTTTGCGTGAGAACTGACAACTGTATTCACGATATTTATTTCGTGATATTTAAATAAACTTTATTTAACTAGATAATGCGTTATAATAAAACTTTCAATGTATTAAATAACTTTTTTCTATTGTTAGTGCCTTTTTTCTACAAACTTAGAAAACGGGTAAGTTATTTTTTTTTAATATTTTTAGCTTGTTACGCCAAAGAAGTATAAATTCTAACGCTACACGCGTAAGTACACACACATACTTTTTTTGTTTCTGTTTCCAAAATATGCAGATTTTCTCACCTTTGCCACCGAGCACGTGATGAGTCAGCACTTAAAATCAACAATTTCGTTGGTGCCGGCACCGGGATTTGAAATTAGGTTGCTCGAGTATATTTAATTAAAAGGGCGAGCGCCCTGACACTGAGCTATCACGGCTATACTTAACTGATATGGTCGTTATTACTTAACAGCGAAATGTGGTGAACGATTTCATTTACTGGTAATTTCCGCCGGTCGTTAACGACCACAATACAAAAAGGGTTGCGGGCGGAATTCGAAACTTTTTTCGTGATCGTTTAACCTTTAAATTTTAAATGACAGATTTCAACGCGTTCGCGTGGCCATATTCCTTTTAAGTTAAAATATCCCATCGAGTTTTTGATGAGACAAATACTCGTATGAATGCCTCTACCGGTCCATCACGAAGAAAAGTAAATCACTTCATCATTCGTATTGTGATACCACGAGACAAAATTTGTTTCCTAGCACACACGTATTTTAACCAACCTCTTTGTTGAGTCTATATATATATATATATATATATATATATATATATATATATATATATATATCATTCAGATGGAGTCCATCGCCTGGGTCATTGTTACCACCACCGAACCCAAGTGTTTTGTATATATATATATATATATCATTTATAATGTGTAATCGCGTAAATACAAGAAATGATCATATATATGAATATGTTGGTAGGATATGAATGCGTAACGCTTTCATGCCTTCATTCTTTGCAAGGAAGCGTGTATGAAATGAAATTAAAACGAGAGGCTGAAAGCAAGGTAGATGAGGTTACGAGATTGTTTTGAGTCCAGCATAAATCGTTCCATTGGCAGCAAGAAATTAAAGCATTTAGTGTTTTAAATTAACTTAAAACAATTTCTATGGATAGTAAAACTCGAGAACTTTCCCCGTACAATTTTTCTGTGCGTTAATTCTGTGCAATTAACATCCTCTAGCGAATTACTAACTGCACTATGTGTAAAAATTGTTTACTCTGTACCTAAAGTGTAGATAAATTGATTTGGTTCCGATAAAGTTTTAAAAAAATATTTTATAATGTTTTCCAACCCCATTTTGAGTAAGACGTACTTGTTTATAATTAATTATCATTTCCAATAAAATGAATAAGTTGTAAACTAAACACGGTTTAGTGACACAGAAATACTATTAGAGTTCACCTTACGACCAGGGCGACTATGTTACGTAAAAAACACTCAACACCTAACCAGACGACATCAGTCATTAGCATATTAGCGAAAACAAAAGTGAGGGCAATTAGCATCGACAGTGCTCCAACTTTCTTCCGAAGCCCGCCTTAAATTATGTCATAGCTGTGTAACACTGGCAAAGGCTGATGATATGCGGCCAGTTTGACAGTTTTACAATTCCTCGTGTTACACCACATTTGAATGATGTAACAATTATTATTAGTTTTTTTTTATTTGCATGAATGTGAAGTTTTATCGGTAATTTAAAATTTTATGATGTAAATCATCAATCACAATATAATTATAAGCATATAAATGACGTTTTACGTGAGTTTTTCTAATTTGGCGATCGTAAAAAGTTTCCCCTGAACGTTTCAACGTACCTTATCAACTTCGGAGGCCCGCAATATGATCTTGAGCCGCGGGTTGCTCTTCCTGTACTCCCTCAGCAGGCCATCCAGCTTTTCTCCCCTGGCATCGCCCGCGTAAACCAGATGCGTGCACTCGGAGAACTCCTGGTGCCCGCCCTCCACGTAGCAAACGAGCCGCGCGGCGCCCGCGCCCGCGCCCTCGGCCGAAAGCGCGGCGCCCGCGACGACGCAAAACAAAAGCAACCACATTGTCTATGCTCTTTAAAAAAATCAATATGTCATCTCCGCTCGCGTTCGAAATTCGATTTCGTATTTTGCTTTTGGAAGCGCGCTGGTCGGTTCGCCGGCGCAGTACAAGTGCCGTCGTCGCGACGGCCGGCCGCAGTATAGGCGCCCCCGCCCTGCTACGCCAGTGGTCGGCAAGGTCGCGCGCTCACCGGCCAAAGAAACTGGAGCTTGCAGTGTCAAGAATGCTTTTACATATGACACAGCCTATCGCATATTTATCTGTGTCGCAAGCTCACGGCATTTTTGTATAACTCGATTATTAGACGCTTTAATATGGATTAGCTTTGGACTGTTACGTATATTTCGGATTACGCGTTCGAGCGGAGCCGATACGATTTCTTAATACAAATCCACATATCAAGCGATTTGTAACTAAGCTTTGCACTGCCAGCTGAGTTAAAGATAATGTCTGCTTAGTTACGATAAACGTTTCACACGCTCAAATAGCCATGTTCAGTTCGCATTAGGTTACCTAGGCGCATACGGTTACATCGGCTTCAATTAAAGAAAAAGTTACTCATTTACGAAAATAATCCTCTCATGGCCGCCGACTTTTGGTTCTGCGGTGCTCAAAGGAAAAACAAACTAAAAAAGTCTTAAACTCCTTTCACCTCTGGGAAATTACCAGGAACTGTTTCTTATAAGTCTAGCAAGAACAAGGATGTTGTAAATTATACAAATTTTGAGAATAGTTTTGCTTTCGCCTTTATCCCTAAATTGCTCTAAATTATTTAACTATATACAATAAAACTTTGTGAAAAGCGGTGGGTTCCAACCGACCAGAGAGCATCGCCAATCTTTGAATTTTTTCTTGAAGGTTTGTCACCTTGCGAGCAGGCGGTTCACCTGATGTTAAGTGATGACCGCCACTCATGGACATTTGCAACAACCGGATGGTTGCGTTGTGACCTTATAATAAATTGGGCCCTAGCTACCTCACTGTCCAGACAAAACGTCGAAGTTCGACACTTCTACTTCACGCAGATCTTCTGTGAGGTCGTGGTAATTACCCAGACGGACCTGCCCAATCGTCCAACAGCGAAAATTGTTGCGTGGTCCTACCACAATTAGTGCCTGCTCTTCTTCTCTGCCCTTCACAATTCTTTGACATGATTGTTATTCACAAAACAGTCTAATTTTATAAATATGAAAAGCCGCTTTCCTATGTGAACTAGATTGGTAAGAGAAACTGTTTTTACGGATTTCTCTCGTTTATTTTATAATTAAAATTCCCGACGTCTCGAACAACAGCGTTCATGAACACGGGACAGACTGGGGAGCTAGACGTCTGAATGTCATTGTTAACCCAAGGTATCGTCAGTTTTTAAATTATTAATTTTCTGCTCGATATATGTAGAAGGTGCTGATTGACCCTTGGCTTGCCACTTAACCACTATACCTAGATTTAAGTTTATTCATTATAGGATCACAACCCAATTAGCGTGTTTTGTCAAATTAAAGTAAAATTAGCGTTTCTTTGTTTAAAAGATTTGCGGCCTATCAAAACTAATTTAGTGATTGGTTTGATTCGAGATTTGCTCACATACTTTCGACTCTTTTGATAATTTCGCGAAAATATAAGAAATTATTACGTAGCCGTCAACAAAAGAAAAAAAAATTACCAAGAACTTCTTATCTGCATGATTGTAACTGATGAGTATCACCGAAACAATTTATACAATCAATATCTTTACTAATATTATAAAGTTTGTATGTATGGATGGATGTTTGTCACTCTTTCACGAAAATACTACTGAATGGATTTTAACGAAACTTTACAATAATATAGCTTATACATCAGAATAAGCCATAGGCTATAATTTATATACGTATGTATATCTTCTTTGTCTTTCTGTCTGAATGTTACGCCTTCAGCCTATTCTACGCAGACGTAGTCGCGGGCAGCAGCTTGTGTAAAGTATATACGCAGCAACTTTTGTTGAAAGAACGGACTAGCTTGACCAGGGAAGTACAAGGCTTCACAGAAGATCCACGTAAAATGAAAGTATTTTACGATTTTTGCCCTGAGCCCAATTCTTTAAAGGTTGGTAACGCATCTGGTAAAGAGTTGGAGATGTCGATGGGCGGCGGTAATCACTTAACGTCACGTGAACCAGATGCTGGCTTGCCCACCTCTTACATAAAATTTTTAATCATTTTTTAATATTTCAGGACATATTAAAAAATAATTTTACAAATAGGGTGCCATCAGGAGGCGTTTAATCTGATGTTAAAAATCCCGTGGATAACAGTTGTATTGATCGCAAGCGATTGGCAACTTTAAAAAGAGCGGAGCCTGGTTAGCCATACTCACCAGATAAACATACCGTTTTTGCAATTTTACTTGGACGAGCTATCCCTTGTATGATACAGAATCTGCGAGGGTCCATCATAACAATAAAAAAGAAGCGAATGAACGCATAATTCATCGTTGATATTTAAATAGAACAATGCAATTAATAACATATAAGCCAGCTTAAAAAAGTTACAGCTTAAAAAAAGAATATCTAATAATAATAAACATCGTTATCGACGCAGATATCTTGATTATTCAATCCAAATACGGCCGAGTTCATTTGCATGTGACACCATAAATAATACGTTAACAGTGGAACTTGGCAATATTACATAAACAGATGTTCCGTCTCAAATTCCGAAGTAGTTTAAATTCTGACATTTTAGCAGTTTGGAAACAATAAGCCTTTTCCCATATATATGCTCTTTGAAAAAACTACCGTGTTTTGTGGATAAGTTTTCTACATACTTCAAAAGTCCTCCACTTTTTATTTTCCACTTTTTTTCCGTATTCGGCTGAATTTTTTATGTTTGCTATCTCGGAACTCCTTAGTTTACGAAACGATTTTGAAAATTCCGTAATACGTCGTTACATAAACATCTTTACATTTGCCCCGTTGGGCAAAGACAACACATCTACAATCGTGATGAGACGCAATGCAGTTGCAATTTTGCTACAGTTGCAATGATTCGGTCGAAATCGATGTGTTTATACGAATGCGGCGGAGAAAAACTTTTCATCGAGGATTGGCATTATTTGTTACTAGCATTTGTTGAGCGTGAATAAGCCCTGATAAGCTATCAGTGCAACGTAACAAGATTACACGGTGCGAACGAAATTCAATAGCAATTTGACAGAAGTCGCCCGACGACGAACATGTCGTGGTTTTCGGGGAAGAAATTTAGGAGAGTCCGGTGCGAGAATTTCGACGAGTTCTTGAGTTCCAAAAGTGAGTGACTATAAAAATTCTACAGACTGTGGTCGTGTTTAGTTTTTGTTTACTGCAATCCTCTATTGTTGTTATTTGTGTTGTGTTAATTTACTTTTCGACGAATCGTAGAACGTCATTCTGAAATAGTGGGTTAACTGGTTCATATTTTAATATGCGTATAGTATATGTATGTTGAATTTAATAAAACTATTCTATTAGTCAAAATGACGATGGCAGACATTATTCACGTTTGAAATACAGACCGACAAATAATCTTTTGGCTAAAACGTATTGTTTAACGATTTCCAAACGTTTGCAGATGCGTCAGAACAAGTGATACATCTGCTAAAGGACACCCCACCGGTCCTCTCATTCTTAAGGCTCGACGAGGTGACGTTCCGTTTCACGTTAGAGTATGAAGGCGAACATCGCTGCTTCACTTTCAAAATTGGACAAGAGCACGAGGTGGAAAGGATGGATGGAAGTAAGGTACTGAAAAATTACTAATAAGACGTAAAAGAAGCGATATAACGTGAATAATTATACGGCCATTGATGCATGTTGTCAAATGTGAGTTAAACGCTACTTTCCAATATGACCGATAACGTTATCTCAAATTATAGGGTGCGAAGAATTTTGTTGCCACGAATTTCGTTTCCACGGTCTTCAGCGATTTTCTCTGATTTGCTCTTCTAGAAGTGCTACTTCTATAATTCGAGATGGCCAATGGGTAAATTTTTGTGAACAAAAAGTTAACAGAGGATTAATTATTTTCAATTCTAATTTTGTGGAATACTAGCTGACATAAATAGCTTTAGAGCTATTTATATTCAGCTAGTTGTTAGAGCTATTTATATAACTTAAGAGCTATTGATAATCAGCTGGTTGTTAGCAACTTCATCGGGCAAAATTTATTGACGAAATTTTACAGTGAAATGGACACTGAGCAATTTATGCATTCACTTGAGCGGGCAGACTCGTCCGAAGAAGTACTATGGCCTCACAGAAGACCGGCGTGAATTTCCACATATGCGGCCCTACAGCAATGATATTATACAAAAACTAGCTGTTAACCGCGCCTTCGCCCGCGCGGCCAACGGGAATTTACAATGAGTTTTTTGAAGTAAATCTTCTTTAGGCGCGACTAGGGAGTAACTCAGATTTTTTCTGACGGAAGTAACGTCATAAGTATATGCCATATTTTTAATATGACATATGCTTATGACGTTACTAAATATTTAATAATTTCAGTGATATATGCCGTCAACGCCAAAGAAGTTTTACTTCAATCGCGCGTAAAGGTTACACGCACACACTTTTTTATTTTACACCAGAATATCTCGCAGATGGTTGAGTTTTTTCCTACTTAGTTGACACTTATCATTAATTATATTAGGGACAATTGACACATTATCTTTATAAATTATAGCCTATGTGTTATTCTGATGTATAAGCTATATTATTGTAAAGTTTCATTAAAATCTATTCAGTAGTTTTTGCGTGAAAGAGTTACAAACATCCATCCATACATACAAACTTTCGCTTTTATAATATTAGTAAGGATGTAAGGATATGAGATAGATATGACACTAACGCACCGAAACTGAGGCACTCAAATTCCAATTGGTGTAATTAGATTGTTTTTTTTTAACAATTTTATAGGTTGCTATCTCTTTCCGTATCATACGTTCTATATCATTGTCGCATTCACTTATATATGTCATATAATGTGAAGCAGAACAATTTTTGTAAGCCGCGCAGTATGAACATGAACACAGTATATCTTTATTAAAATTTCATTGCCCGACAGGTTAAGGATTTAAAAGATGATAAATTACGGAAACCTCTAAACATCAGGTGATCCACCTGCTCACTTGCAACCTTTTTTAAAATAACTAATTAACTAATAACACTAATCCTTATTGAAATTGCATCTTACGTATCCCGTAATCGCTTAAAATGAAAAATAATGACATAATGATCGATAATATATCAGAAGTCGCCTGTCAGATATTTTATCTGTGGAATAATTGGTGTAGATTGCAAAATGTCTATCTCGGTCATCTATTATAATCTATGCTAATGTTATAGGGAGATAAAGTTCTTTAAAAAAAAAAGACATCCGCGCTAACGTTTAAAACGTGTGCCGAATATCGTGTAAAATTCACCCAGACTGACCAAACCGAAACACATTAATATATCCGGACCCACCGCCGGGGGTCCCGCCGGATAACACTACACCCACAGCTAGTGTAACAACAAACACAATAGTTCGCCCTCGCCTCCGAGCACGGCGAGACCAACACAATGCGTACACAAGGTACACCCGCGTTCCAGGGCGGTTCTCACCGCCCCCAGCCACCGATTAGCTAAAAAACACAGTCGACGGCCATCGGGGTCTCGGTCCGCACCGCAACTTCGATGGCCCTTAGATGACATGTCGTAGTTAAACGCACGCATGAGCACATGCGTGGCCCTACCCACAGCGGAGGGCCCAAACCCGTGGGTTCTGGCTAGCCCACCGGTTCTGCGTCAGATGAAGCTTTAATAGTCTCGGGACTGAAAGCAAAAACATCAGTTAATACAAGATACAAGACATTAATATATCGAACAGTCAAAATGCTCGAAATACATATTGCCTTCAAAACAATTACACTATATTAAGTTTACTCAACATTTTTTGACGTGAGGTGAACGCGTTCGTTAAATTTCAAATTGTAAACAGAGCAAACCGGCAATCCTTGCTTGCTTGATGTGTCTTTACCATATGAGCGGTTTCAAAATGGATTCCATTCACCATTGGTGCTTGCAGATGAAATAAAAGACGGTTACGGCGTTTGTAGTTATAATAGTAAATATATATGGCTTCTTTTCTTTTTTTTTCTTCTTTTTTTTTAAAACGTTGACGTAAGGACGTTTTACAAACATAAATTTCACGCGGACAAACACCCAGATGCGAAACAACTATCTGTGGATCGCACAAATAGTTGTCCCGTGTGGGAATCGAACCCACGACCCCCGACGCCGAAGCCAATACCTTGGCAAATGCGCCACGGAGTCATCAATAGCTTTGTAATAAGTACAGATCTTGATAACAACATTACTATTGAAGCTATGCTTCTTTTTGGCGAGTTACGAGAAAATTAAAATCATTAAGTTAATCAATAAATCTCCACTGATAATACTGTGTCAAATATTAACAACGTGTCAATACCTCAATATATTTTATTTAGTTGCGCCAATGATGACATCCGCAGTAGAACAAAGGTAACCGACATAGCTCAGAAGGTTAATAAGCTGAAGTGGTGATGGGCCTGCTATATAGTAGAACCGATAACGACTGGGGAAGAAAGGTTCTCGAGTGGCAGCCTCGCACTGGCCATCGCAGTGTGGGACGACCGCCCACTAGACGGAGTGATGGACGTGTGCGGGAAGTCGATGGTTGCAGGTGGCTCAGGATCGTGCTTCGTGGCAGTCTGTGGGGAAGGCCTATATTCGGTAGTGGACTCAAACAGGCTAAATGATGACGATGATGACATGATGCACATAAATTTATATTTATTTTTCTTTTGTTACACTAAAGAAGTGTAACTGCTTACGTGCGTACATAAGTACACACAATTATTTTGTTAGTTGTATAATATTATATTTAAAAAAATATCCTATTTACCGACAAAAATTTGCCCACTCTATCACGTGAAGAGAACGTGACTGCTTATGTTTCATATACTGGCAAACTAGTTTAGGATTTATTCAATATTTTTCCAAATAACTACGAAACGACTGTATCATTTGTAATTTCATTTACCTTGTCTGGTAATTTTTTAAAGATAAACTGACTTGCTAACTACAGATCACAATAAAGCTACATTTTCCCTATCACCGATTAAAGTGATAATTCTTAGGTATCAAATATAAGTAAAAATTAAAGTGACAGGCTATAAATGTCCCACTTCTGGGTAAGGCCTCCTCTGTACAAAGGGTATCAGGGCATAGTCCACCACGCAACCCCACTGCGGATTGGCGGACTTCACATCTTCGAAATATTCTTCTCATCGAAATATTTTTATGTCATTATTTCGATAAGCAGGTTTCCTCGCGATGTTTCAATGCTGAGCACGTGATAAATCAGCACTTAAAATTACCAATTTCATTGGTGCCGGCGATAGGGATCTAAATCAGATTGCTCGAGTATATGGAATTAAAAGCGAGGGCCCGGACAATGTGTTATCACGGCTTCAGTTATCAAATATGCCACCTTAATTCATGGGAGCTTGAACAAATATACATAGAAAATTCTTAAACATGTCTTTCAGGTTTGCGCTCACTCGGGTCCACAAATGATGATAATTCTTAAAAGTATAGTCTCTGAACGGTCTTCTTTCTTTTCTTTATATGAAATTCAGAATGGGTTCAATGGTACATAGAAACGATAAAAATATACATTAAATAAATATAACAAATCTACATACATATGACTGTTGCATTTAATTTGTTTCTTTTTATTCTCAGATAATCCTAATATATAATCTTGAAGGTGACAACATAGTAAAGCAGACCGTAAAAATGCCAGATGGAAAGACGGCGTATTTCATAAGGGAGTTTAGTGAGACTGAAACAAAAATGGTAAGAGATTTTCTATCAACTTTACACGACCACACTAACGCCTAAAACATACTGAATAAGTTTTTGTGATATTTAAAATATTTAAATTTAAGATGCACGCACATTTTTTAATTTCTACGATAAAATCTTTAAACAACCTATATAAGTATGCCTTGACAAATTGTTTGTCACTGATAAACAATATCAGAGTATAATTGATTAATAACGGCCTAATTTGATTTAGGGGTACAATAAAAAAATTTACTCTAGTTTTCGTTGTTTCCACTTCATAAATTGCATAATCTGTGTAAATGAAAATATTGCTGAATAAATGGAAAGAAATTTAATCCATTATCATAATATTTGTATTTTATTTTTTAAGTTATTTAATGGCTATTAAGACGCTAATATTAGTATTTTTATTCGTTTATTTAATCCTCAAATTAATTTTACAAAAGATCGAAATAAATCAATTAAGATGAACACGATTTAAAGAAAAGTATTGTACTTTTGTCCTTTTTATAGTATTGACTCATATATTCAATTCTACCAGAGTACGCAGGGTACCTCATGATTTCCTCAGATCGTAGAACTATTTAAGTACTATAATTATTTGGTGATTAATATTTTGAACATATAAAATTATAAGACCAGACATTTATCACTCATTCTCATTGGATTTAAATATATTTTTATGTTTTATTCGTACTTTATCATTTAGAGGTTTATAAAATGGACAGTATAGGTATTTTAACGTGACTCCTTTACGGAACCCTAAAAATCTTTTTGGTGCGCTCTCCAACGGAAAGAGTTGATATTTTAAGAGGCTGATAGCGTGAAACCAAGCCTTCGTACCAAGGTTTGACTTCGAAATAAACAAAGTGTGTTAGGGGCGCCATATTTGATTGCGTTTTGAGGGGACTGATCTTTTTGGAATTGAAATCGAAATTCATATATTTAATTTTCCATAAGTAGGATTATACTGAGGTTTACATTAATGAATGCTTAAACCTATTTAGTTACAAGTTTACTAATATCTTTTTACCGTGTTGACACAGGACCTTGATTTTTGTACACCTAAAAGGAACTATAGAGCTCAGTATCTGTTATAAATTTCAACTTGCTAGGTCCTTCCGTTCCAGAGAATATCGGTGGTGACACACGGACAGACAAACGGACATGAGAGTAAATATATCAGAGTTCCTTTTTTACCTGAGATTTTTTAAGATACGGAATCTTAAAAATTACCCAAACATGTTGCGTTTAATGATTGGAATTCTCTTCACACATGTCTTATACATATAAGTAAAGAAAGGAAAGAAATAAATAAAATAGAGATTACAGATTACAGATTTCTGAATAAATAACTTAATTACAGATTTCTAAATAAATAACTTCCATAGATCTATCCACATATTTTATCGATTATACACATGAAGTTACCTAAAACTTTTACTCGTAGTTACCTAAATATTTAACTTTTAGTTTAATAAAAAAATCTCCGATCTGATCATTTTTGTTAAAAAATTAACGGGATTTAATTTTTTTATTTTTTCGTATCGTCAATATGATAAGTTTTTTGTTGCATGTTATATACTGTTTCTGTCTTTTTTTGAGAATATTATTTGGCACCGTCATTACACTTAAGAGGAAACCCATCAAGCTCTTTTGTTTTGTGATGAATTTAAAAAACGGGTCAAGTGCGAGTCGGCCTCACGAACGAAGGGTTCCGTAGCATTATCTAGTATTATTTGTATAAGTGTTCATACAGCCCAGAGGACTATCTTATTTGGGGGTTCAACTATGTTGTTTTATCGTATTGACTCAAGACCTCTTTTTAAATACCTAATAAGGATCTATATTAGATCTCAGTATCTGCTATAAATTTCAACTAGCTAGGTCCATCCGTTCCTGGGAAATTTGGGTGGTGACACACGGACAGACAGACGGACAAGAGAGTAATCCTATAAGGGATCCTTTTTTGACCTTTAGAGGTACCTAAAAACTAAAATAACATACTTATAGATAAAGGATTATAATTATATGCTGTCCATGCAATCAAATCTAATAAGAATTGGAAATAGTCTTTATCATTTACACAGGATACTCGATGATACAGATTACGCAAATATTTCCAAATTTAAATCGTACTGGAATTCCTTGTTTAAGCTTAAAGTGTAGCCACCGTAGTCAATACGTCATACGTACGATAATCTTACCTTTTAGCCATTACATTATGTAAGTTTCAATAAGTTGTTTTGTAAGAAAATGACCAGTCTACATATATGGATCGTTTGTAGTAAAGGCATTATGACCATTTCCTGCTGAACCGTTAAAGTCCCTCATGGTTTCTTATGCGTAAACTACGCTTTATTAAATGAAAAGTTTTTATCACTTTTAATTGATATCGAAATTTTTAAAGTAACAAACAAACAAAATGTAACCTTTAAATATCTTCAGTAAATGAGTTCACGTCAACATATAAATAACACTAAAAATATAATTACATTTATCCCCATCTCTCTTCTTATTCTTCTCATTTCATAAATTACAAACAAAGAAAATATTTTACTATCTTATACACATAGACACGCGTAGTAAAAAAAAAACAATTTTATAGATTACTAGCTGACCCGGCAAACTTAGTCTTGCCGTATAAATTATTTCTAAGGAATTTGTAAGGTAGAAAAAATATTTGGGGTGCCCTTAACATTTAGGGGGATAAAAATAGATGTTGTATGATTCTCCACCCTGGGCGATATGCACACAAAATTTCACGAAAATCGGTCGAGCCGTTTCGGAGAAGTTCAATTACAAACGCCGTGACACGAGAATTTTATATATATCTATTTATATATAATTTTATATATCTCTAATAGAGATATCTCATTTCATTTTGGTTTTAGTCTGTTCCGTGACCAAGGACGCTGTACTGTTTTAAAAGTTTTATTCTATTATTTAAGTAATGGATAATATTTCGTTTATTTTTTTTCAATTCCAATGCTTTATTTCATGATCGATGGTCACGAGATGAACGGGTGGTCTTATTTTTTGTTTTATCCTTTTAATCGAGTCAATTTCTATGCCGCTTTGTGGTCGTAAAGAAAGTATTACGATTACCTCACTCATCAGCCAAAACGCAAAAGCACAAATTGTTCTTACCCCATTGTCCCTATTACCAGTAGTACAGAGGAGGCCTTTGCCCAGCAGTGGGACGTATATAGGCTGTTACTTTACTTACTTTTACCTTTCTACTGTCAAATTAACTGTCAAAACTACAGTCGTGTTCTTAGTTTGTATGCAGTGAATATGTAATGTTTCTAAATAAATATCATTTTGTCGTATTATGAGCCTTCTTTTGTTTCAGACTGTGCAACTTGAGGGTTCAGACGTCAAAGCCGCGATATATTACGAGATAGTGGAATAACGGATCTCGTGTGGTTTTACTATCAGTATTCAAAGATGGACATGTAAACTCTTGTATGTGAATTAATTAATTTAATTAATTTATCATCACCATTCGACAAATAGTGATAAAATATTTTTTATACAATTAAACATTAATACATAAGTAAACGATAATCATCATTGTCACAACTGTTTTTTTTTTACAGAAAATACTTTATTAACATACCTAATTTGAAATATGGTAATATTTTTTTATATCCGAGCTAGTTTTTTACACAAACTACTTACATTGTTATCTAAAGTCATATAAACGTACATCCTCGTGACTTATTTTCGAGGTGTATAAAGATAATAATAAGAAAATTTAATCTGGTCCCAGACTGAGAGATAAACGCATGATTTTACAAACTGCCCATCCCCGTTTTAAACACGATTACTTGAGTATGATGATTAAAGCGAGCACCCGCCCTTGAGTTACCACGCCAATTGGTTTTTCTGGTAAGGGATAAGATGTACTTGTCAGTATACATTCTAAATTGACGAATGTGCTCTATAAATAAAAAATAAATATTGTTAAATTAACTTTATTAACATTATATATACTTTCCATATGTCCGAATCGTGTAGATCTCTTAGTAATAAAAAATAAATATATATTTATTACATTCTTCACCTTACTATTAATTTTCCTCATATAACAAAATACAAAACAGTAGTACGAGGTGTAATAATTTTATATATACATCAATAAAAATACGCACTAATGCTGAAACAACATTAATATACAGTTTTGACACATGTATTTCATAGGGGCCGCCGAACTAATTCGGTCATTAACATAAAACGGCTTGAATATTAACAAATGACTTAATGTGCCCCGCCCTAAGCCATTGTCTGTGACTGCTTGTCATTATCTTTTGTCTAATCTAAGGCAGCGCTAAAAGGGCCAAACGGGCGGACGTATTACACTACGAAACACAAAAGAACACACAAGTCTTGCATTTATATGTCTAACGAATATTAATACGCCAAACGGCAGGGTGAGGAAGGTAACGCGACTTAACTTCACGCTAATTATTCTCAACTCACAAATCGACACAACTCAGAAATCAGTGTAAGACTGATATCATATAAACGATACCAATATGGAGGACATTGCATAGAATTTAAAATCGTTTGATGTCATCTGGATTATCCTTCTCGCCCCTTCTATCGGAATTGTGCTGAGTTGCATGACATGTGTATAAGACCGTGCTCTGAACAAAACGATACTCAATGTTGCTCTGTGTCAGTTTAAAAACAGTGTACCTGTCCACGTCAGTTAGCTGACATTTGATTTATAATATATACCTATTGCGGATTTTAGAGTAGCGATAAACCGGTTTTGGGTCGCGTACGATGTAGTAAATATTTATGGAAACAAGTGATAAATTGTAACTTATGTCAACAAACTTTTGTTACTATAAAATGGCATACAATTTAATGTTTTATCATTGTGCCACAAAACACAACCGTATGAGAAAATGATATTAAAATAAAAAATTATAGTACTTCACGAGCTACTTAACAAAGAACTTGCAAATGGGATCCAGGCAATCCTACTTACTATTGCTGTTATATTCGTTTTGAAGGACGCTTTAAGTAAATATTAAAGATTTTATGAGATAAATGGTCGGAAATCTCAGAAAAACTTTATCATTGTTTTGAAATTTTACTATAATTTTTGTTAATTTATTTTTAAATTTATAGATCCAATCTCTGCACTCAGAACTAAGTGAAACATTGAAATTTGTAGAAAAAATAGACGAAAAGTTTTTCACCACCACGGCAATTGAACTCTCGTCTTCCGGATCAGCGATTAGATGCTTTAACCACTAAAATGAACGGTTGACTGCGACAGCTATGAAAATCTCAACGTGTTTTATCAAAAAAATTATTAAAACTTTCGTGACACATTATTGACGTAATAATAAGACGGCTAAACTGATGTATTCGATCTACATTGTTTTACCGCATATTAAGCCTTTGCTCATATTTGGAAATAACTTTTTATTTCCAAACTTCTACACTGTTCTAAATATCGGTGCAATAACTGAACAGATAGCGAAGGGAATTTATCATATTATTTAATCACACTACATTTCAGTAAAACTCAGGTAAGAAATTTAAACTAAATGGTACACACTTTTGATATATCGAGTAAAACCTCGCTACTGTAACCATTAAGTGGTCTATGAACTAGATACATATATCGCGTTAAAAAATCAACAGCTGTCTAGTACTCAAGCGCAATTCAAGATCAGACTTAGCGATTTCCTAACGTTTAAATATCAAATAAACTCGACCGAGCTGTAAATCACATTAATCTCTGTTCTCATTTTGTAAATTTCGTTCCTGAAGGTCTTGACCCTACTCGAAATGTTCAATCAATATCTAATGAGAATTAAATTGATTGAAAGCACATACTTACTTACTTCGTTGGCTCAGCGACCCAAAGAGGACCTTGGCTACCGACACTAAGGCGCCACTGCTCTCTATTATGGGCTGATTCTTGCTAGTTGACTAACTGGAGCGCGCTCAGATCTTTCTGGACTTCAGAAAGCACATAGCATTTAATAACTTTTAAACGGTGACAATTTTTAAGCTTTTCATTTCTTCAGAACTTAAACTATTGACGAGAGGCTCTTCGAGAGAAGTACCACAGCTTCGCAGAAAAGTGAAGTGGGAGTATTAATAACAATTTCATCTCATCTGTGAGGTAACTAGACCACCCTCTTTTAAATGTCGGCAAAGCTCTTGCATCAGGTGCTGAAGATATCCATTGACAGTGATAATATCACCAAGGATCATTAGGAACAAATATTCAGGACGACTATCTGAGTGTCATACAAACACTTGTCCCATATGGGAATCGAACCCATAGAACCCAGCTGCGAATGCAATAGCTTATAAGCTGCACAACCGTTAAACCATGCACATGTGACCCATATCTGTACTTAAACTTTTGTAAATAATATTTCCAAAAAAAAAGCTTTGCGGTTTTTAAACGTCCTTTCTTTTTTCCAAGCGTTATCTTACCACTATCACAATTATATTCATATAAATAACGCAATAAAAGCGGACGAAGAGATAAACTATCCATAGATATATGCAACCTGTTACGATGGTAACTATGCTCTAAATATTCGAAAATTCTCTTTTATATTTCGGTGATTTAAAAAAAATAAAAATGACCAAAATCACTTAGCGCGTTATCGTTCATGGCAGTGCAGTCTGATGTGGGTCAGCAGTTTCGCCTTTTAGGGAGAGAGGCGTACCTCGCGGATGACGCACCTGGCTAAAGCCTTCGTGTGCTGTGGCGAAGACCAGAACACCCCGCCTGCAAAGGAGGCGTTATGTTACGCGTACGTAACGAATATCGACGGCGACCCCACAATTATCCTTTGGCATTAGGAGCGGTCCGCATAAATATTTATCAATCGATAATTTTAGAGGAGAGACGGTGTAACTCAATAGTTTCATAGTCTATTTTAATTTCATAGTGATTAAAGTAATGTAACAGCCTATACATGTCTCACTAATGGGCAAAGGCCTCCTCTGTACTAAAGGGTATCAGGGCATAGTCCACCACTCGGCCCAACTGCGGATTGGCAGACTTCACATATCTTCAAAATGTTTCTTTTGTTATTTTTTTTTTAAATCAGGTTTCCTCACGATTTTTTATTTCATTTGCTTCATTTAAATAATATAAATTTACCCTTTTATAAGATTCATACTTTTTAAAATTTCACAAGGAGATCATTTTTAAAATTTCATGTACATCCTGTTGGCAACATTCGTTCCTTGAGGTCGTTGGCAACACTAAAAGAAGTGTCATTCTATGAGGAATAAATGCAGCTGCACGAAGCATTTCATGGTCTTCTTCGTCGTCTTCGTCTTCTTCTTTGGCTGTCAAATCCGAAGTATACGCGATAGTGCTGCCCAATTGGTATCATAAATTAAATCGTTACAGTGGTGTTTCATTAGTGATATTAAAGTGATAAAATAAGTAATTGTACCAGTGATATTGTTGTGCAAAGTGAAACTACGGTGATTTGGTAAAAGTATTTATATTTCTACCTTCTTAGCTCGATAAACAAAGTATAGCTAACAATCCTACCCATCAACAATTCCTTTTGGTAAATTTCTGAGGTTGCCTGGAAGAAATTGCTGTGTAGCAATAAGGCCGCCTTTTCATGGTCAATATTTTGTTAAATATTTTGTTTCTTGTACTTTTTATTTTTTGGTGTACAATAAATAAAGTATGTTATTATTATTATAAAGAGAGCTCGTCAGAAGTTTTTTTTTAATCTCCTCGAAACTCACTTATATACAAGTACCTTAATATGACAGTATCCAAAACAAATCAAATTATTTTAAGCGAACCCTAAAGCGATTTCGTCTGGTTGTTTGTTTAGGTCGATGCGTTCGTAAGGAACAAGATATTTTAAATCATAGTTCGCCTACTCTATATTCAGCGGCAAAGCGTTTCACGCATTCACTATTTACATATCTGTGACTTGGTATCCATACAAGGTTCATGTTATACGTTTAATTTTATGTGATACTAGCTAGCTAGCTAGCTATAGCTGCTGATATGCCCGCGACTACGTCCGCGTAGAATAGGCTGAAGGCGTAGCATTCAGACAGAAAGACAGATATACATAAAAATATGTACATTAATTATAGCCTATGCCTTATTCTGACGTATAAGCTATATTATTGTAAAGTTTCATTAAAATACATTCAGTAATATTTGCGTGAAAGAGTAACAAACATCCATCCATATATACAAACTCTCACCTTTATAATATTAGTAAACATAATGTAGCCAGTGGAAGATTCTCAATATTTTAACGCGTCGGTTAAATGTTGCCGACTTATTTTACAGTGTCCGATTGCTAACTATGTAATTTGCATTTACGCCTAGGTTTAATATTTTAGACAGAACATATAAAACATAATATACATATGTTT